GGGGGGGGTGGTGGGAGGGGGAAACCAGATCACTGGCCTGGATTAATACAGCAATGACACCAGACCAATTCCACACAAAACCAAAGTGGGTTCTTCAAACGATAGGATTAGAATCTTGACAGTGAACTTTAACTATTTTATCCACTCAAAGTATACTTTTGTTTGTTGTTGACAGTAAAGGAACCCTTCTCTCAAAAGCAAAAAGCTTCAACAGACAGAGGTATAGCAATAGTCTATACAACTCTCCACTGACCGTATCGCTGTACAATGGAATTATAAGGAAAGAGAAGGGGAAGGCCAATACAGTTTTCAGCTTGCTCATCAATTTTGATGAAATATGTTGACAAGTTACTTCTTGGATAGAGATTATTATTTTAAAAGGGGAGAAAGGAGGAGGGGGGCAAAAACAGAGACATTTTTTCCTGTTAAGTTACCTAATGTCATTCAACGCAATGTGAAGATCATTCAAGAATCAATCATCTGAAAACTAAACAGAATTAATATTAGTGCGGCAAAAGCAATGTGGGGATAAGACGCCAATACATAGATGTTATTACAGGGTGTGTATACTAGGCAACCTCCTGGAAGTTGAAAGGTAGAACTTGTGTGTCTTGGCATCAATCTACATTGAAGTTCCATTGAAACCTAATTGTTCTTGTACAACAGCTCATGGAAAATTGGGGGTGTCTTTGTGTGGGATATTTTAACCATACCTCAGAGCAGGTTACTGTGCCACAACCCTCAGCAATGGTATCTGTTCATTCAGAACTCATAGTAGTTTATTAGTACTGATCTCAAGCCATACTGTATGCTTTCAATGTATGTATACACTTATTTCAAACCAGAAATTCCAAGATGACAAATATAAGCAGTCAATGTATTTCTTGATGAACTTGGCAGTAGAAGAACATTCGACTCCGAAAACTTGCATCATTTGTACAACAGTCTCAGCTTGCATGCAACAAATAAACTTTTTAAATTCAGTGCTTTAAAAAAGTCAAAACTTTAAGTATTTACTGAAAAAAACACAACAATTAATATGACAAGCTTTAAAGAGGTCAGATTAGAAATCTGTGCCACCCAAGTGAAACTTGAATTAGATCATCGTGAAGCCATGCAAGTGCAAGCACACATCAATGAATAAAAAAATCCGGCAAAACTAAAGAATAGCACCCCTACCTTTCATGTATTAATAATCGCGCACTCATTTAGATATTCTTCACTATTCTATCTATGCCACTAGTCTCATAAATTTTATTGTAAAACAATTTACTGGGGCGGGGGGGATATTCTTGAGTTTTGCCAAAAACCTTTCACCAATTCAAAGATGGAAGCAAAGGGTTTGAAGTTTTTTTGAAAAAGCAAATTATTGTGGCCAAGTCTTACGGCATCCACAAGCCATTTCTTGGTAGCATGCTGCAAGGGTGGAAGTCTGTGAGGTCTTGTAGGCACAGGATATATCTTCAGAGTGGCCTTTCCTCTCACCACAACAACATTTGGAATGTTCCTGCCCTTCGGGACGGCTTCCAACACCCCATTTCTCTTGTACTTCCTTGTCAGAGGCAAACTCCTTTCATCCACACTTCTCTTAGTTTTACCACTGCCTGTCCTGCTATTTTGCTCGCTGTAAGAAACTGAGTGCCCCTTTGGAGGCTTGCTATCTCGGGAATTAGAACTTCTGTGAGACTCATTTCCTTGTGGCATATTTGACGTTCCATCTCCTTTTTTCTTTTTATCTGAGGCAGCAGATGACTGCCTTCTCTGTGCACCTGACAAGGAGGGCTGGCTTGATTTTGATGAGGGTCTTGCATTGCTACGGTCTGTGTCCTGAAAATTCCAGTTGATAAACTGCATGGCACTGAGACACTTTTACTAACCAAAATGCTATGAAATTTATAACCACAGTGGAATCCATTTAATAAGACCTTTTTCAATGTGAACCCTTCAGTCATCAGCTATGGTCTCCACACGTGTTGTGATATTTTCAGAATATACTGAGCAACCTTTCATTAGCATTCAATATGAATACCAATGAACAGCTAATGCTTGCAAAACTAAAAGCCAATCAAATGTGGGAATGATCGTATTCTTTTTGTGCTTTTCCCCTGAAACGCCATACCTTCCTCATCTCATCTGGCATCACTAAAGTTCCAATGTTGCATAGATATCTGAACCATACTTGGCGTAGGTAATTTGAACTTCACATATAAACTCCACTTACATCAACCTCCGTCACCTAGCCAGCTAGCCTCACGATCCTATGACAACGAGTACTCAGTGTACGAGTAAAGGAAGAGGTAGACCACGCAAAAGATGGATTTGGGGAGTCAATGAAACCCTGAGAAATTATAATATCCCAACTGAAAGAGCTGCAGAGCTAACCTATGGGTGGCAAAAGTGGGCGTTGGCTATAAAAGATTGACAAGTACTGGTATTAGTGTAACACAATAATATACTATAATATAATAGGCCTACTGATCTGCTAAGTCGACATAATTCTGTACGCCAAAATTAGACGATACTAATAAATAGCTGAACATCATCGCTTTGTTCTTTAGTTTTAGTTCTTAAAATGCTCTTGATATTCTAAGGTGCTCTAGTAGTATTTTCCCTCTCCAGAAAAAGTATGTTGTATAGTGTATATCGCAGGATCGAAGGGCCCACCTCCCAAATTATGATCTGAATTGATTTAAAGGAGTGTGATACCCTAACTATTATATTGACAAGGGGAGTACAATGTTCAAATCTGAATCCAAACACATTTATTCCTCTTCGCTTTTTGTGCCCAAAGACCGTTGTTGTCAAAGGAAACAGAATGCCCACTTTTGGTATAATCTCCGCTAAGAAAAACAGGTTATTTAAATTTTACAACACAAAACCAGAATCGTGGCCCTAGCCACGAGTTTGCAGAATTATTGAGTTCATAAACCTCAAAACTAAACAATTGCATTCTCTTCCACCTCCACTAACTTTTGACTAGCGTCTGTGTGTAGTGGTTATAAATTCCCTTCGCTGTCGCACGCTGGAGATCCGAGTTCGATTTCCGATTCTTGAGAATAATATTTTTAATAATATAATAATAACAATAATAATTGATTGCGTTAAATAGCGCTCTATCCCATACTAGTATAATGCTCTGAGCGCTTTACACCAATCACATAATCATTCACACAAGAGAAATATTTCACAGAAGCAAGAAAAAACAGTTCAACCACATAGCCTAAAGAACTTTCATAACCATATATTAACTATACTACCCGAAAGGACACAATATATTTTAAAAAATCAGAACTTACTAACACACTATAACTAACAATTAAACAAATTATCATTCTTGAACAATCGCTTAAACCTATCAAAATTTGATGTTTACCGGAGATCCTGAGGCACGGTGTTCCAGATTTTTAGGCCAAAAAATGAGAAACTTTTCTCACCAAAAGATCATAACTTCATTCTAGGGGCTCTGAATTTTGTTGCTCTGTTGATGACCGTAACTGACGAGATGGAACACGCAGTGTTAAAAGCTCAGATAGATAGGATGGGCTTTTTTCGTTAAGGCATTTAAAACAGATGGTAGAAACTTTATTATATTGGGTTCTTTTATCAACTGGAAGCCAATGCAGAGCTTTTAATATTTTTGAAGCAGGGTCTTTCTTCTTTTTCTACAGCACTAGTCTTGCGGTGTAATTTTGGGCCATTTGCAATTTCCTCATTCGTTCACACGAAATACCAGACATAACAGAATTACAGTAGTCAGGTTTAGAGAAGACAAGAGAGACAGGGAGCATACTTGCAACATTGGTTGAAATAAGGTGCCTTATCTTACTAATTCACCTGAGATCAAGGTACATACATCGAGTAACATGATTTACTTGGTTGTTCATGGACATATCTGAATTTAAAAAGATATCTAGATTCTTGACCTTGTTGGAAAAGGATATGCTAGTATTTTCAATTTGCAACTGGCTTCTATTAACGTCAATTAGGTTTTTGAACTCCCAAACAGAATGGTTTCTGTTTTTTCTTCATTTATCGATTATCTCGGTCTTTCTGCAAAGATGTTGTGTCCCGTTAACCCTGGGTTTGATCTGGCAGGCAGGGTGAGAAGCCCACCTCCTAAATGGTCTAAATTATGTCGACAGGAGCGTAACAGCACCTACATTTTAAGACGACGTGTGGGTAATTGGGTGTGGAAAAGATGATGGCGTAAGTCTTGAACTAACGTTGTTGTCTCATAACACAAGTACCGAGATCATCATCATCATCATCATCATCATCATCATCATCATCATCATCATCATCATCATCATCATCATCATCATCATCATCATCTAGCGCCAGATCTGCGACAGACATCGGCGATCATGGTGTTCTATTCGTTCCTTTGCTCGGATGTTCTTTAAAAAAGCTACGTTTCCCTGATCTTTCCCTGTTACCCATTTGTTTATGTTCCCAGTGTAGGTTATTCTGGGACAACCCCTGCCTTGTTTGCCTTCAATTTTGCCAGTACCGAGATACGTGAACAAAATATAGGCCTACATGTAGGCCTACATAATAATTATTATGCACGTACCCTGTCTCTCCCCTCCCATTATCTATCTACCTATCTCTCTCTCTCTCTCTCTCTCTC